CGTAAACACATTCAAGGACGTGAATCCGTGTTCGTATTTAGTGTGTAGTATAAACACAGCCTAACTTACATCCTGGAATATGTGGTGGTACGTTAACCTCAGGAATGGATGTGGACTGGATCATCAACTGAAGATCAGGTATTTTCTTCTCAAAGTAGTTGGCAAAATCCTCAGCTAGTTCAAACACGTCTTCATGGACTGGTAGGTGTTGGCCGTGTTTGAGGTTGGTAAGATTATCAATCAAATTGAAAAGCTGTTTCTGTTACTGATAATGTCATCACTTTTAGCTTTTTCAAGTTTGGTGTGGTATTCAGATGTCATTCTAGCATACTCATCTTGATGAACTACAAGGCCAGTTTTCCTCCACTTTTCTTTCACATTTACGCATTTCTTGCTTGGCAACTCTGCATGTTGCATTATACCAAGGTGCATGTGGTCTGAGTGTGATTTTCCGTCTGACGACAGGTGCATGAGTATCAAGTACTGTAATTCCCAGAGGTATGTGTTGTATTGTGAGACTAACGAATTAAAATTAACCTTGAATCTTTCAGGAAACAGATGGGAGTTAGCTGTATTGTTGATGAACTCCCTGACATTTATGGCTCTAATGTTGCGTCTGTTTATAAATCTGGTTGTTGTTGGGGGTCTACCAAAATTCAAATTAAACAGTGTGACAGAGTGGTCTGAAGGGAGTGCCTTCTTTCTGACGCTAACATTGAAAACAGAGCAATCTGGAATGGGTGAAATCACCAGATGAAGTGTATTTCCACAGTCGTGAGGTTCCTTGACATATTGGAACAGATCAACAGCATCAAGCATTTCGAGAAAGGTTTTGGCATTTGCATCATGTTGGTGGTTTACATGGAAATTCAGATCGCCAACAATTATATAATCAGATGTTATTTGTGCCAGAGATTCGGTAAACGTTAAAAAAGTCATGAAAGAACATATTTGGTGTAAGTTTGTTTTTCATGGAAGGACAGCTGGGACTGTAAATCACAAAAACCTTGAGTTTCTTTGATTGGTAGTGAGTGTCAACCTCTAAATACTCAAAGCTTCTGAAAGCAGCACCATTTTCTAAACGTCTAACTAAGAATCCATTCTTCAGCAGAAGAGCTACACCGCCACCTGATCAATTTAGCTGTGGCTGACTGATGATAGTGTAGTCAGGTAATGTACAAATGAACGGTTATCTCGATCACTGCCAAGTTTCTGTAATAGCCATGATGTAAATTTTGTTGCTCATTACATAGTCACAGATTTTTGTAGTCTTTTTCTTGATCGATTGTGCAAAAATAAATTCCAAAGTGCACATTGTGCATATTCTGGGTAGAACTTAGTGTGCATTTTGGGGTAGCTAAGGTTGTTTATATTAACAGTGTTCCTAGATACCAGTGATAGTTTTAGTTTAATAGTCATGTTCATTTTTTTAATAGGGCGTATGACTATCATGTGGATATCAGCTCATGACCGCGCTGTGTTTAATGCCAACTTCTTGTATGGTTTTAGCCAAATATGTTGAAATTGAGTAATATGCTTATTTAATGTTTTAAGCTCACTACTACTGTACAGATAACTTGGTTTCGAAGCAAGAAATGCAGACAAATTTAAAGCCAAGAGATTGAATTGCCATAATGTAGAGCTAGAGCTAACAAGGAAGTGGAATGAAAAGTAAACAAAGCAAGCCAGTATGCATGAAGCCAGGCAGGTGGTAATTTGCATAACACAGAGAAAGCACAAGTTGTGTAGTGGACAATAGAAAACCAAGCAAGTTTATGTATGGCCTAGCAATAGCTAAAAAATTGCTACTAAAAATACTGAAAAAGTGAACTTCGTAAGAATAAAAAAAGAAGGAACCATAGCAATATAAAATAAGTCAAGAACAATATCACCAAGATTCTTGCAAAAAAATCCAGGAGAAAATATAAAAAAACTCAATGTATCCAGGAGACAGATCTAGAGGCATACAGCTAATACAGCCTACAACTACAATACAATACAGCCTACAACTGCAACTGCATCTTATTTGATAGCATTACCATAATGTTGTGACTTGGGTTGCTTTACTACAAACGAATAGTCTCAATAGCTCCATACCGTACTTCAATGCATAAGTATGTATGTTTATTGTTGGGAGAGCAACAAATATCTTGTATCTAATTCATGTAAAATCTACACTTAATCATAGCAAACTCTTCAAGTTTAGTTTAAGAAGTTGTTTGGAAGCATGCATAGTGCGTTGGAAGGGTCTGATCCCTGGAACGTTTGAACATTTGAAGGGCACTCCCAGAACCTAGCTATTTTATAAATTTTATACTGAGGCTTTATTGCGTTTTCTAAAGTATTTTATCGCTGAAGTTTTATTCGTTTTGTATCCTGTTAATACTTCGTTGGATTTTTGTACATTTTTAAAATTGTTACTTGTATTCTGCTGAGGATTTGCAATGTGAAACTGTAACTTGTAAGTGTTTTAAAACTAAATACTTCACGTTTATTGTTTGCCTTCTGGCCATCCTTAGTGATAGTGGATTATCCAGTGATGAACATCCTATTCAAGTATGTTTTATGTCATATACTGATATTAATTTAACTAGCTACACCATCATGGCTGAATTTGAATTTGAATCCTGCGCCATTAATAACAACACATCATTCTGCAATGCTATGCAGATTTACATATTCACTGAGAGGCCTGGGTCTACCTATAACCTAAAGGAGTCAACAAAAATGTCATTACCTGATGTTTCATAGTCATCTGGTGTTGCTACCTGTTTGATGAATTTTCGTCGTCGAGTACTATTTTTGTGTCCTCGATTGGGTTGCATTTGTTTACATTCTGATTTCAAATGTCCCTGTTTATTGCATTTAAAACAAGTGGCATATTTATGCCTACATGCATCACGTGTATGATTACTCAATCCACAACGATCACATTTTTGACGTGTTGTTTTTTTAATTTCCTGATGATAGCCTTTCACATGTTTATGTCCCTGTGTCGTTACTTGGTGAATTGATTTCTCACCTTCGTGTGTCATACTTTTCATATTCGTCGTTGCTGCTTCTGCTGCAGTTGCTACATCTACAGCAGGGAGATGTATCTACAGCTTGCTGGAAGTATGGTCCTTAGATAGCAATTTCCTTTGAATATTAGTGCTCAATAGTCCACATACAAACTGATCACGCAAAGCATTTTGCAATGCATCTCCTTCAAAAGCACAATATGTAGCTTCCTTTTTCAGATGTGAAACGAACTGAGAAATAGTTTGTCCTGGTGTTTGCTTTGTGTTTCTAAACATAAACCTCTCAGATATTGATAACCTTGTAGGCTTTATAGAAAACATAAATCACGTTGTGTAACCAGCTTCACCTAAGCTACTCAATAAAATAGCTCTCCTTTTGTTTTCCGTATTATCTCCTTGGAGGTCTAAAGCTACAAAGTATTGATCTAAACGGTCAACATACGTATCAATGTCCCCTTCATTGACGTTAAACTCGTCAAATAGAAGTTTCGTGTTGTTGGATGCTCGTCTGATTTTGTCTTTTACAAAATTTGTTTTGTAAGAGACAAATCCATGTCTGATAAACATGTTTCGTATATTACAATACATGTTTTATATAGACATTTACTATAGTTACGCCACATTTTACGAAACAGAAAATTGAAGGGGATGACAGCGCCAAGTGTTTCTGGTTTTAGCTAATAAATATACGAAATTGATACTTAGCATATGACCCTTGACATCGAAAAGTTGGTTTGTGTAAACAATCGTGAGCGAGTATCAGGCCTCTGTGTGAGGGCCTAGCTAGCTAGCAAGAAAGAAGAAAGATGCATAAAGACGGAACTAGAAGAAAATAGTGATAGTGGTACTGTACTTTTGAAATATAAGATTTCAGTAAAAGTTTTAAATGCTAATAATGCAAACTTTTTACTTGATAGGTGAGTTTACAAAATACGACCGTACCTGGGCCAAGACCGGACTTGGCCATGGCCATAAGAGAGGGCCATCCATGCTGTTGTTGTGTTCAGTTTAGGGATCAGCAGACTGCATCAGGACACGTCCCTCTCCTTTCATTTAGGCCTGGGCTAGGCCAGTCACTAACGATAGCTACTGTTAGCCTACTTTGTAGGTATAGCCTACCCCATACTGTCTTATATAATAATTATTGAGGAGAATATTTCCTGAACTAGCTAGGCCCTAGAGTGTCAGCTTACTATGTCTGTAGATACACTTAGACCCACCCTATAACTGTCTTATTTATTATTGATATTATTAAGCCAGGCTTATTAAAACTTAGGCCTAGCTAGAGACAATTATTAATTACTATTTTTTATTTAAGTAGGGTCTAGCTTTTACTTATAGAAAAACATTGGCTATTCTTCCAAAATGCAGTGTATGTTTTTGTTTGTTTTTCATTTTATTAAAAAAAATAAATATTTAGGGCAGATATGGGACCAAGATAGCCCTGTGCTGGTGAATCTGATTATTAGTACACAATGCAAATTGTAATTATGAAGTTCAGGAATAATTGTCCTCAATTTTCCCTGTGCCAGTGAATCTGAAGACAGAAATTTAAAGCAGAATGGAATTATGATGTTCAGGAATTATTCTCCCCAGGAAAAATAATCTTAAAAACAATTCTTTTAATTTGAACTGCTCAATTTGAAGCTAGATTAAAGTAATCAAGCATAAAAATTATTTATATGATCATACTGTACTGTACTTGATGATATATTTAATTTTTTTCCAATTCTAGAGAGAAACTTTATGTAACATTTATGTCCTAATTCTGCAAGTGGAAAAGTATTTTGTTGCTAGTGAATGATGGAAGTTTAAATTCAACATTAAATAATTTTATTTCCAAAGATATATATTGATACATACAGGAAAAACAATGCCCAAATAAAATACCTTCTGACCATTTATTAGCAAAAGATGAACTCCATACAAAATATTTAAGTCTTTTATAATTATCTCACATTGGTCTATTTCCGGACACTACAATATGTATAGATTTGAACTAAATTCATAAAAACCATCCTTTCAAGTATACATTCATTGATTACAATATATTTATTACATCATGAGGTATATACTTTTTGTTTGTAGATGGTCATCACATTCTATTTGAATAATCTTTGGGCAGAGTGACTCAAAAAGGAAGCAACTGAATACAACTGCTGTAGAATTATCCAGAAGTCAATAGAATGTTTGTTGAACATAGAAACATTCCTGTACAGAATATTTTTTCAGTAGACTGTATGCCAGTGGATTCTAACAGTAGGCTTGTCAACTCTAGTACTGCACCAAATTGTTGAATGAACAGCGCAAATTCCTGGATTGAGAGAGAACAAAATAATTGTGTATCATTTTTGAAGGATAAGAATTATTTCATGGCTTATATTTTTGATACTATACATTTTAATTCATATTTGAAGTCCAACTACCAACTTCCTTTAATTGGTGCCAAATATTTCCTACTGGAAATTGGCTAATACTTTTATTATTACAGTATTATCATGTAGGATTTCTATATTATATTATAATAATCTGTTTGGTGCACTGCAAATATGATTTTCATTTTTATACATTTGATAGGGATAAATGATAATTTATGCACAGATCAGTCTGATACAGAGAATTTCTATTGAAGTATTATTACTGTATTATGTCTACGTGTCAAATAAATATATATTAAAATAATTCTGTCAGTTATTAAGGTCTTGTTTTTGATAATTTTCAATGATTTGACAGTCTTGTGTCAGACCTACCTGAAGTTGTAAAATGCAATTCTGACTTAAAAGGGCCCCTCCAAAGGCTAGTAAAAAGTGGCATCATTGTACGTATTTCAAACTTTAGTAAACATAACCAGCTTATTAATCTAAATTTATGTTAATGCAATTAATTAATATTTTTATTATATTACTGTTAGTATGGTATGCAATACAGTATTAGAACAAAATCATAATACAGTTACTAAAAATTTCAAAATGTGTGTTTTTATTTTCTTCTAGAACTTGATGCTGGCAAGTTGAGAGAGATGAAGTCACTGAAAGTGATAAACTTAAAAAATAACCCATTGACTTCCGAGAACTGTCACCAGCTCATTAATTTCTGTGGTATTGAGGTTAAGACTAGTCACCATGAGGTAGACTGATATGAATTCTGGAAGGAAATTCCACAGTTCAATGCAGTTTAGAGGTGGATAGGAATGGATGTTCAGGAGCAAGGTTTGAATATCCTTATCGAATTAAAAAAGATTATGCTGTAATCTAAATACAGCAAATTATGTTGCTGCATCCAGAATATTGAAGTCAAGATAGAACTGGAAATATAGTAAAAGACAATCCCAAGTAGCCAAAATCTCAAATTTTTATCTACCATATTTAAAGATGATAACCCATGCAGCTCTCCATTGCTAAAGAACTGATAATATTAATAATAGTTATGAGTAATATAATAATAGTTATGAGTAATAGTAATTCAACATGCTTGATAGGGTCAAGTGGGTTCATATTTAATTATTTACATGATTAACACACGACAGCTGTATTCCTATAGATGACATTTTAAATATGTGATGCTGACCGTACCTGTACAATTCATACTGGGAGAGCTGATAATATGTGGCAAAGACAAGCCAAACCTGTCACTCGTCTCAAAAATAAATTTTGAGTTATTAATACAGGAAAGAGTAAAGTAAGAGCTATGAAATGGTAAAAAATCATTCAAATCCTACATTTCCTGAAAGTAACAAGCATTCAAACATACATCTGTTTAAAGAAAAATAAATGAGAAATCAGCCTTCAAAGTTTATGATTTCAGGCCTATCTCATGTAGAAACTATCATCAAATCCTTTAAAAAAAATGTGGTTTTTTTAATTTAAAAAAAATGTTGTTTTACATTGAAAATGTGGAAAATAACTTGACGTAGAGATATATAAAGGTTAGTTTAGTGCAATAAAATGACATTCCAGGATGTCCAGGACGATTTACGACGAGTGACTGGTATGGCTTGTCTTTGCCACATATCAATAATATAGTGTTTTAGTTAACTGAAGTGCAGAAGATGATGCTGCATATGTTTTTTTTATAAATTTCAGCATACTTGATATTTTCAAGTGGATTCACATTTAATTATTATATGATGAAGACACATGACAGTAACATTACTGTAGATGACATTTTAAATATGTTACTGTATTGTGACCATATCTGTACAAATCCTACAGGTATGTGATAGAAAATGACATATAATATGATGCTGTAAGTAATAGTGGAATGTTTTTACATTAGCATGTTTAGTATTTTTTGATAACCATATAACTATTTTATGTACTTAATTTAGTATTTATTGTAGATAGAATTTTGATTAATTATTAAGAAGAATTAATAACTTCTTTGTGACTACCCAGTATGGAATAGACTACAGGTGTTTTGATCAGACCTTTCCGACACCTGTGAGGGGAGGGGTAGTACCTAAGCCGGGAGGAGGTCAATAGTTTTGTCGAGTGCCATTTCCGAGAGTCTAGCGGGGCCTATTCATAAATTTGCTCCAACGGCCACGGATCCTTCGGGGCCCCTTCGGTGCCCCTACCCATATTGTCTAGTAGGGTCCTCGCTTTATAGCACCCTGATCCAAAAGGGCTTTACTGATACAAAACAGCATAATGTGTTACTGACATCGACTGTAGGACATGTAGCATATTAATGCAGTGGGGTGGGTTGCCCAGCCGGCCAGGACCCCTTGCATTTGTAAACATTTTTTAAAAATGGAGATAAAGTATCAAATTTTATGTCAGAATGAGTGCCATTTCCAGGCATCTAGAGGTACCAAAATCATAATTTGCTTTGCGACTCCCAGTATAGAATACACTATAGGTCCTTGATTAGACCTTTGCAATGCCCGAGAGGGAGAGGGAGCATAGCCCCACGTCGAGAGGAAGTCAATAATTTTTTGTCGAGGAACACTGCTTTGAAAAAGCATACAGTAGGCCTATTTTTACCATCTGAGAGTGCCATTTTCGAGTGTCCTATTCTTAAATTTTCTCAACTCAGCCCCAACCGTGGTGGGGCTGAGGTGGGTTTGGAATACCTATTGGGCCCCTCCTCGCTCCCCTGTCAGAAAATTTCTGGATCAGCCCCCTGACTTTGGGTGAAAGTTTTGCTTTTCCTGCAACTACCACATGGAGGTTTTCCTCGTCATCTATCCTGTATGTAGCCACTTACCACTCCTACGTTAAAAAGCTTCTGTGAATGCATAATGCTGTAAAAGATGAGGAAAAAACAGAAGCTAGTTTGAGCTTGGACAACTAAGCAAATTTAATTGTCTAAATAACTCTGACTGTACTTGGCGAACAAGCAGACTACAACACATGGAGGAGGTTGAGGTATCCGATCTTAGTGGTGTCATGATGTATGCACCTGTTGAGACTAAACTATTGTATACCTAAAAAATATTATAGTCCATATGTAACGGTCCTACACCTCCCCTTTAAGATTTGGCTTTGGAAGGCAAAATCTTTTCATTACAAGTGTTAAAGTGTAATAGCAATGTTAAGTCCATGAGAAATTAGTCTGTATCAAAGTCATCAATATGATGTGTTCTTCTGCGATTCCTGCTTGGATGAATTTCAGTGGTGGGTTTAGGCATAACCAATAGGAGCGTAAACTTGCGTAGATACTTTCTATTGCTTAAAAAAAAAAATGAAAATAATTATTACCTATCATGCTGGTTGCAGCAGGGTGTGTTTCTGCAAGGTCAAATTTGTTGGTGCAGGCTGAAAATTTGATGTACTTGAGAAGCAAGTGATGTTTGCAATGGTGATATTACACCTTCTGTTGAGATTGATACTGAATGGGCTTCTAAAAAAACCTAAAAAAATTACAAGTCATTGATATAATAATAATAATAATAATAATAATGTTATATATATATACCGCACAATGCCGAAGCTTCTATGCGCTTCACATAAACAGAAAAATAGAAAAAAACCCCAAAAAACTAAAACACGAAATAACCTAAAACTAACCAAGACCGCCAAGAAAGTGAAAAACCATCATCACCACCGGCAATTTAAGGTGCAAGACCGGCCAGTACATTATTCACAGCATGCCATAATGGTGTGGTTATCTAGCTGCCTATGACAAAAACTAAACATAAAAAATTAGAGTGCACCAAAAAGGTGCGTCTTCAAAGCACACTTAAAGGAAGAAGCTGCTGCAGAGGATCTAATATCGCAAGGTAGTGTGTTCCAAAGTTGTGCCGAAACAATAGAGAACCTTTTATCACCATATGTAGATGTTGATGTTCTCAGAGTTTGCAGTCTGAGTTGAGATGATGACCTAAGACTGCGAACTGAGTGGGGAGGGTTGACCAGTTGTGTAATGTAAGCAGGGGTTGTTGATTGAAGAGCTTTGAAAGTGGTCAGCAGTATCTTGAAGATAAGCCTCTTCTCAATGGGCAGCCAGTGAAGGTCATTGAGGATTGGGGTTATGTGAGCAAATGGTTTATGGTTTACTGCGTGTTACAATGCGAGCTGCTGTGTTCTGTATCCGCTGTAGTTTAGCAATTTCAGAAGTAGGTAATCCATACAAGAGACTGTTACACCCATCCAGGCGTGAGGTAATGAAGGCATGTACCAGTCTGGCTGTTGTTCTTCTATCAAGGTACTTTCTAATGCTGCCTATTTTCCTGATTCCTGAATATGATGCTTTACAGATGTTTTTAATGTGCTGCTTAAATTGCATTGATGAATCGAATAGAGCACCCAGGTTCCTGACTTCTGCCTTGACATCAATAGCAGTAGAACCAGTCATAACAGTGCTTATGGGACTATAGTTTGAGAATTTGGAAACAAAATGGATTATCTCGGTCTTTGATTCGTTCAGCAGAAGATTGTTAGCTACAGCCCAAGATTGAACATCAAGAATACAAGAGGACAACTTGGTTACTGCAAGCGCATCTGTCAGATGATTTGAACTGGTAGTATAACTGTACATCATCTGCATAAAGCATGACCCTGAATCCATGAGCTTTGATAATATTTTCCAGAGGTGTGGTGAATATGACAAACAACAGTGGTCCTAAGACCGAACCCTGCGGGACTCCACAGTCTTGTTTCCTTTCATGAGATGACACACCCTGAATAACAACTGAATATTTTCGTTCGGTCAGGTATGATTTGAACCAGTTATAGGCGCTTCCGCGAACCCCAAACTGGAGCTTAAGACGTTTAAGAAGTTTAAAATGATCTATTGTATCGAATGCAGATGAAAAATCTAGTAAAGCAAGAAGAACCTCATCTCGCTTATCAAGAGCTGACATGACATCCTCTTTTACCCTCAGTAGAGCTGTTTCAACACTATGGCAAAGGCGATAGGCAGGTCTCAGCTAAGAGGTTGTGTTGGTAGAGATGAGCTTGAAGCTGAAAGGCAACAACTCTCTCTAGAAGCTTGGTCAAAAAGGGTAGATTAGAAATCGGTCTAAAATTTGAGAATAGCTCGGGGTCCAACCCTGGCTTTTTAAGAATAGGTGTCACATTGGCAAACTTAAAGCATGTTGGAAAAATGCCAGAAGTCAAAGATTGATTGATAATTGTGGTAATAGTGGGCAAACAAATATGCAGATACATCTTGGTGAATGGTGTAGGAAGGGGATCCAGATTAGATGATTTATTGTTTGAAGAAGAGATAATATCATTAACATCACTTTGTGAAATTTCTTCAAAGGCAGCCAAGGCAGTGATGGCAGAAAAGCGATCTTCTTGGCTTCCAAGGCTATCAGAAGATGGAACATGTTTGGTTAGCTTTTCCCGGATACTTCTAATTATGTTATGAAAAAACTTAGCGAATTGTTCAGTGAGACTACACAGGCTGCTGTGAGATGGCAGGAAACTTCTTTGCTTGCCTGAAGTGAGATCATTAACAAGATGAAAGAGCTTTCGATCTGGACACTTACTGACTAACTCAATGTTGTAGTCATCTTTAGATCTGGTTAGAAGCATGTTGTAATCTATACACTTCTGCTGGTACTCAATTTTATGATGAAGGGATCCCGAGTGAAGATATTTGCATTCATACTGCCTCCTTTCACGTTTCAGGGGACGTAAATCAACAGTGTACCAAGGTGCTTTAGGACGTAGAACAACTTTCTGATAACTGGAGCATGGTCATCTAAGACTTTACACAAGGTAGAATTGTTAAAACATGCCAGATTGTTACACAAGGTAGAATTGTAAAAACATGCCAGATTGTTAACATCCTTAACCTCATCAAGTTGATGTACAGATTTCTGCAGATCATCAGCAAAATCCTCGGGATCAATGCTGTGCAGTCTTCGTTGAGAAAGCATCTCGGTAGGTAAAGTCGGTCTTTGTATCAATATTGAAGAGACAATTCATGCGTGATCTGATGGCAGATCCCACTGAATGGTAGGTTTACTTTGAAGTACGTTGTCATGGCTCAAGGTCAGGATAAGATCAAGTGTGTGATTGTGGTTGTGGGTGGGACCACATACCATCTGGAAGAGGTTGAAAGAAGTTAACAGATCTCTAAAAGCAATTGCATTGGCATCATCTTCCTTATCAACTTGAAAGTTAAGTTTATTTTTCCTGGATGGGGGAGGCCTGTAAATATTGATGAGCCTAATGGTAGATGTTGTTGAGATACTTAGGTCCTGATATTCAAAAGATTTGAAGTTAGTTGGATCATTTACCTTGACTCCAAAAGTGGACTTTAACAGGACACCAACGCCACCACCTCGATGGCTGCGGTTTCGATGCAAGAAATCAAAGTTTGGTAACAATTTCTTGAATGAAGTCACTAAGGACACGCCCGTCAGTGTTAGTCCCCGTCAACCAAGTTTCAGTGATAGCCATGATGTCTACCTTGTTATCCTCTACAAAATCGCAGAGATAAGCAGCCTTATTTCGTACTGATCGTGCATTCCATAGAGCAAATTTAACGAAAGAAATCCTGGTATCTTCAGGAGAAAGTGCGGTAATGTTGCAGTAATGAACACCACGCGTGACTCGGCTGGCACTGCAATGCTTAAATTTATGCTTAGTAATGCGTTTGTTTACATGCCTACCTGCCCTACAAACCCGTCTAATTTTAGCAATATTTATTTCTTTGATCCATTGAAAAACAGATGATCTAAGAAGGTAAGGCCTATTTAGACTAAATAACTCATTTCTACTGTAACTGTAACAGTACTTTCCAGATAAGAAGTAAGCAACTGATCTAAACCCTAGGCCCAATGGCCATGGGGAATTCGACATACTGCAGGTGGTCATGAGGCTGCCTTTGCTGCTGTGGTACTATTGTTCTAAAACAACAAAGGACTAAAGTCACTAACAGCCTAGCCTAACAGATCAAAATGTTGACAAAAGGCATAAAAACCGTCGATAGGAGTGAAAGAACTGTGAAATAGAATTCTCAATTCTCTAGAAAAGCCAGGCAAAACAAACTGTTGAAGCAAAAACTTAAAAATGTGGAATTAACACATATAAATCAGAGCACAATCCGCTCTCCTGCTAACTGCTTAACACAGGGCAATGAATGTTTTTCTTGTAAGATATGGCAAATAAGTTAAAAGTCTGATCATCGAGGACTTGATCGATGTCTGCCGTAACGGCCAACATAAACATTTCTTTCTCTGATGAACTGTCTGACATTTGTGGCAAACTCTCCGCTGTTGCTTTTTGTCCTTGATCCTGTTTACAATTTCTTCCTCAACATCTTTTGTTGTTTTCTTTCTGCCTTTCCATTGGCTTCGTCCAATACATTCAATTACTTAGCTCATTTCTTGTCTTTGTATCCAAGATTTGCAGAAATGTTGTATCTAGTTTCGTTTTTGTCTTAATGCCACACACTTTGAGGTCAATCATGCCATTCGGTTTCATTGTCTTCCTGGCAGAAAACATGCAGTACCCATCATTTGTTCCGCTTCTGTTATGAAGCCTAGCTGATGCAGCGCTCCTTTAGTTTGTCTGTTATGTTGATGTTAAAAATGTTTCAAATTGGCGATGGATGACATTTGCTGTAACTTCCAGGCAATTGCATACCTTAATATAAGAAGGACCCAAGTCCACAGCATAGCATTTTGAGAAAATTAAAGACATCATATTTTGTTAAATTATTATTTTTGTTTATATGACAATTTTCCTATTTTCTTTGTTTCGAATTAAAATAAACAATAAGGAGGGCATTATTGATATATATTTATATATATATATATATATTGATATATATATTGATATATATATTGTATACACATAAAATATATTTCCACTTTATTCTTATACGCTACTGTATATAATTTAAATTAATTAATGTTTATGTACACATTTTACATTCCGAGAGCACTCTTTGTCAACGTTGCAATATTTTTTCCTCTTAATCTGAGTTGGCATTGGGCTTCAGTAATGAGAGAAGCGATTCAATCCCATCTTGGCACTTCAGCCTCATTTGGATGTGCCTTGTTAAATCTAAACTGCTTGTACTCAGATACAAGGTAACGCTCATCATTTTGCGTTGCCGACTTGATATGCCTTGTTTTACCCGGACTACTTCAAAACTCTCATGAACCATGTCCATCCATCTTGCAAACCAATCCATTCTCTCTCTCATACTCTTCTCAATACAGGTCTGTCTCCCTCCAAATTAAAGACCACTTTTGGAATCGGGGTTTTTGTGGTCTTTAGCAGCTTTGATTTTTAATTAGAATCTTTCTAATCAAAGACCGGCACTAAAAGTGGTCTTAAATATCACTATTTAGAGGGAAACTAAGAAATTATATACATTAGTATGTAAGATTGTGTTATTCCAAGTGCTTTAGCAGGCCCGTAGCCAGGGGGGGTTTTATGGTTCGGGCAAACCCCCCTTTTCTAGCGAACCTCCCTGTTTTCTAGCGAACCCCCTCAAATTTTTGAATGAATCCCACCCGTTTTTAAATTTTAGCCTGCATTACAAGCCTACATTCATAGAATATCTCAGCTTCAGAAGTTCGGAGATTTAAATTAAAACGCAATTCCAGCAAACCATGACTTTACGATGGCACACATAAGGATGGCAAACATCGATAAAAACCCCTGTCTCTTATACACATCTAGATGTGTATAAGAGACAGGACTATTAGTGCAGTAAAACAAATATTGTATGTAGAAGTAGTTTTAGACTTATCATTGGGTAGAGTAGGCCTAGTGGTAACCACTGAATCAGCATCTAGTAATATTAAATAAGAAGTTATTAGAAGGAGGAGTAGTGGTAGGTACTGTAGTAGTTTTAGCAGCAGAAGCAATAGTAGTAGTTCAAGTAGTATGGTGGTAGTAATACCACAGTAGCACAAGTAGCTAAACAGCGCCGGGCAAATCCTGGTGCCACCTCTGGACCCCACGCCAAGAGAACCCCCCTTGAAATGACCTGGCTACGGGCCTGTTTAGAATGAATTTACAGTTGCTGTATGCTGTTTTTAATACACCATTTCTGGGTATTCCAAAAATCTCCACTACAGTATTACTAAGAACAACATCGTCCTACTAAAGCAATCAGTGTGGGCCTTTTCATACATACATTTTCTATACATACATAAATAAATATAGATATATTTATTTATGTATGTATATATATTTATATATATATATTGATATATTTATATATATATATATTGATATATATATTGATATATATATATATTGTTATATTTATTTATGTATATATATATATTTATATATATATTTATTTATATATTTATTTATATATTGATATATATTTATTTATATATTTATTTATATATTTATTTTTGTATTTATATGATATATATATATATATTTATTTATTTATTTATTTATTTATGTATGTGTATATATATAGATATATTCATTTATGTATGTATATATATATATATTTATTTATATATATATATATATTTA